AAAATGGGTTTTGCAACGTTTTTAAATACTTTGGTAATTTTCAGTTTTCATAAATAACAGCAGCAAGAACAACAAAACATGTTTGATTAGGGTAGCAATCTCTCTGTGAAACGCAATTAACACAATATAGTTCCGACAAAAACATTCATGAATTCTTTCGAAGCTCTTTTCAGCCCCTAGGTGGAAAACCTGTGATACATTTTTTAACTGTTTAGTTTTTTGCAACATAATCTATTTCAGTATTGACTTTTATATTCAGTAACCAACGAAATAATCCGGAATGCACTGTTTTATTTCGTTTTGTCACATTGCTCCTTATAACAGTGTCTTACTTTAGTTTATATTACAATTTATTCTTCGTGTTGTGCAATGCATTTACTATTTACTAAGAAATACAAAGCAACAACAATACCAAAAAAACATAGCAAAAATCGAAAAGAGAGTCATCTGACGGAGATATAAGGAAAGATCATGATAAAAAAAAGGCCACTATTTCTGAAACATGTCTCAGCAAGGCTCTGACAACCGGTTGAATTGACAGTCCTGTGTTCTTGCTAGATCCTGGACGATTTTGTCAGTAAATGCTCAGTTGTGAAGTACCATTTAAGTTTACTTTTGATATGACAGCTACTGAATATCGAATTAACACAATTCTTGTTTTATCTAACCGGTTTTAATTCGCTCACTTGAAAAATTTGGTCAATGGCCAACATCCAATCTAAGTTATTTTTGATCATAACAGATGGTGATGGGAGTCGAGTTATTATTGTTTGCCTAGTAAATGAACAAAGCAAATGAAGAATTTAGAGAATTATTAAAATAAGTCCCTATCTGGGATATAAAAAAATCGATATGGGTGAAAAAGGGTTATTTTTATAATTCACGTGTTTGATCACTGAAAGAATAAAATTTGTAAATTTTTACACTAGCGTCAAGTAGACCTAATCTTAAACCTGTGGCTTAGGAATAATATGTGTTCCCACTGCTGTTTAGCAAATTTTTGAGGTAATAAATCACTAGTTATTTTGAGCATTAAACGATGGTATTTTCTCAGTTTCAAAAGCCAACAAAACACTGATTCATTTTTAAATAGGTATTTCAAACTATAGGTGTATTCCTAACTGGACAAAAGGAGGACGTAATTTCTGCTGTATATATACATATTTATCAGAATCATAACTGAAATTATCAACGGAGGTAAGAAGCATTCCTCTGATTGGACATTTCATTGAATTTAAATACAAAATGTAATAATTATATTTTCAATATATCACTTTTACCCACCATTTTAGTCAAAACTAAAATTTATTCAGCCATTCATAAACCCAGTATTATAATTCATTATTGAATAATTTCATTATAATTGTGAAATAATAACTTACAAACGTTGTAATGCGTATTGTCAAATCTATACTTTATCATAGTTAGAACTACTAATAATCATTATATTACTGAAGTAAAAAATGCCTGTATCAATCAACAACTGATGTTAATTCAGAGAAACGTGGTTGAAACTTCGACGTGTTAAATTTTTCATTAAAAAAATACTAAACGTGCATGTGAGTTTATTTTCTGTAATAAAAACGCTCTGTCTAACTCTGCTAACATAAGTTCTTGTTATTTGTTTCTGTTGATCATATATATGGATTACTGGTAGCGAGGTTTAAAAAATACAATCTTTTTTAGCAGTTGTTAGCAAAATGGTCAGATTTTAGGAGCATAAGTTTGATTAAACTAAAACTTTTCCTGCTTTTAGTAGACGAAACTTAAAACTTTTGAATTAATTTGTTATCTACTTTCATGTTGTATTAGCTACAGATTACGTTTCATTATGGAGAGGTAGATATAAGAAAGAAGCCTTAGATAAATATGAATATGTTTTTCTGTTCTTCAATAAGGCAGGTAGGTGTAGTCAAATTCAATCCAAAATTCAAGTCTATGTAACGCTATACAGTATGAAATATCATGCTAATTACATTTAAACTAAACTGGTTTTAAAACATAACGATATCAAAACAGGAATTTGTAGTGCGTATTTGTCTTATTCCTTTATTCCACTAAAGTAGATACTGTGTTGTTAACTTGAGCGTTCTACTTAATACTCAAACTGGTTCGAAAAGAACAGCTTTAGAATGACATGCCTCATCGCACAATAAACACACTGGGTCACTCAAAAACTGGTCGGTCAAGGTGGGTTTAAACACAGCTTATTCTAGAGTCTTGTAAATTCGCGTTTTACAATAGAAAAACGAACACAAAATCATATAATTGCACGGTGTTAATTTCATTATATACCGAGGTGTTACGTGATATTTTAGCGTTGTATTATTTTGTGTGAATTCAGTAACAGA